GACATCTTTCAAAACGATGCTCAGAACCAAAGAGTAAGCTAGCATACACTTCACTCAATGATCCCCTGACAGCTTAGCCGCAGATCTGAGAAGGCGAGGGACCTTCCAAGAGCTCACTTGAAATGCACTTGTTTCAGCACTGAAAAAACAAATCTGTTTCTGATTCCTGACATTAGTTTCCAAATGCTGCCAAGAATCTAAGGAATTCTTTTACATACACAACATACATGAGACAACTGGAGAGAGGCCTGTGCACAGCTCCAGGAGCAGGCCTGGGAGGGAGGGCCCCTGCCCTGGTGGGAGCAGAAGCGCATGCTTGAGATTGCTCCCTGCTGTAACCTCCAACATGACTCCTGGCTATTATTAGACAATGCAAAGACTTTTCCTCCATTTGTAGCTTGTGAAGCGAAGGGTCCAGACAGAGCCCTAGCCGGGGAGCACGTAGGCAGCTGGGACGCACCCGGCTGCACAGAATTTGCAACTTTTCTGCTTTATGAAGCTAGATTTCTAGATGTTGGAAGACATGCTGAAGCTTAGAAAGGCAAAGTCCAACACCAAACCCACGTTTAAAAATCCCTAGAGAGCCAGGCCCTGGCGGCTCATGCCTGTAATCCTAGATACTCAGGAGGCAGAGATAAGGAGGATTGCGGTTCGAAGCTAGCCCTGGCAAATAATTCTCAAGACCTTATCTCCAAAAAATCCATCACAAAAAAGGGCTGATTAAGTGGTTCATGGTGGAGGCCCTGAGTTCAAATTCCAGTACCACCAAAAAAAAAAAAATCCCAGAAAAAAAATGAAAAACCAGGGGAAATCCAGTATGAAAGTCACCAGCATATGGCTTCTGAAGCTCAGAGAGCATGGAGCTTATTCTTTCAGCAGAAAAAGGTGTGCATATTAACATTTTCATAATAACAGTAGCATCATGTTTTAACTGCTACCTTTTTTGTTGTTGGTAATGGGGTTTGAATCCAGCTTTGTGATGACTACGCAGACATTCGACCACTTGAACCATGCCGCCAGCCCTGTATTCTATATTTAGAGATAGAGCCTTACAGAATTTCCCTGGGCTAGCCTCCAACTGGACGTCCTCCTGCCTCTGGAGTAGCAGGGATTATGGGGCTGCACTACCATGCCCAGCACATATGACCTTCTTACCTTATTTTTTAAACTCAGAAGGAGAAAAAGTCAGAGAACTGTGAAAGACTAAATCATCCAACAGCTTGAGCTGTTTAAAGTTATGGCTCACACTGAGTTGACTGCAGTGAGCTAAATTCAATTTTGTTTTTCTCTTTTTAGCAGGATAAAAGTTCATAAAGAAAACTGAGTCGTTTGAAGGAAATAAAGAGGTAACATTTTCTTTTGCATGGCTGGTCAAACGCGTAGGTTTTCAACCATCGACGTACAAACATGTCTTAAACTCACTCTGCCAAAGCAGCTACATTAGGTGGTCATTCTTATAGCTGTCCCTCCAATAAACACGCCTCCTATAAAGTGACCGCAATTTGGGTGACATTATGCATACTTCACTATGCTTGGTTGTATGGTATCTAACCAGAATCCTCTGCCCTCCCCCTCCTCCTGCCCCACCAGAACGTCAGGATCTTGTTTGGGAATATAGTTTTGCAAATGTAATGAGACAACATGAGGACACTGAAGTAACTGGTGACCTTATAAGAAAATCATCTGACACAAAGATACAGAGTGACACACAGGAAAGAAGGTCACATGAAGACAGGCAGAGACTGGTGTGATGCTGTTACAGCCATGGGATACCCGGGGCCACCAGAAATGGGACGAGCCAAGGAAAGATTCTTCCCTAGAGCCAAACACCATAATTTTGGACTTGGGGCCTGGACAACGAGAGTGAATAAAGTTCTGTTGCAAGCCACTCATTCAATGGTATTTTGTTACCGCAGTTCTAGGAACTTAATACAGGTCTGTCTGCTCACCAGTGCCAGTGTGCCAATGCTTTGCTACAGTCTAAAACAAGATTGGTTCAGTAGGTGACATAGCTATTGGACATTATGGTGATATCACACAAGCACATGACTTAATGTTTTATGAAATATCAGGCTGATGGACTGAAAAGTCTTTGCCACAGTTAGAAAGCACAGCAAAGATAATAAAGATGAACCTGATACATACTGTAATTGAGAAATTTACATTCTGAACCATCTTAGATTACACTGCATGCAATCTGAGTGACAAAAAACACGTTAGCTTAATGTTTTAAATAATGTAACTGTGAATATACATATGTGACATGCACTTGATAGTTTGCTATCAGTCATATTATATGGTTAGCCAGAAGCTCCTGACTCAGACTGTGATGGATCACTGACTGCTCAGCTAAGGAACGGCATACTGTGCCTTTGTTAACCACAGGGACCTTGGCACAACTTTAGAGAACAGCTTCTCCAAGACTGCAAGCTCAGATGTTGCTCAGACAAGATGCATTTGGATAGGATGGGGGCATCCGGGATGCTTCAATGGTGACAGCAAAGAGTGACTGCAGCTACATTATTAAAGCAACCGAAATGGCAAAGGTGACATCCCTCTTCTACAAAGACACATTACTAGTGCCAAATTGACAAAAAGCTGAGTGGACATGACTTCAGCAGGGGGGTAAAAAACCTCTAGGGGAGGAAGGAAAGAAGAGAATGATAAGAAAGTGAATAATATTGAAATGTATCACATCTGTGTGGGAACAAGACAACAGAGCACACTGAAAATGGCTGAACAACATGGGGGTAGGGGGAGAAGTGAATGGAGTAATAGAGGGGGGTCAGACTGATTAAAGTACAATATATTCAGTGCATAGATACCATGGTGAAACCCCTCTGAACAATGAATGCTTACTTGAACAATGAAGGACAGGATTGTAAAACAGGTCATGTTAAGAGGAGGACACAAGAGGGAGGGAAGAGAAAGGGAAGAGGATTAAGGAGGGTGGATATGGTTAGTCTATTTCCTACACGTGTATGAATATGGACACTGAAACCTGTCAAAGCCAAAAGAAGGGGAAGGGGGAAAGGGAGAACAATGGAGGAGATAAACCAACCCTTATACACATATATAAAAATATCACAATAGAAGACCCTGTACAACTATTATAAACTAATAAAAACATTCTAAAAATCTCCGTGGAGAAAAGGAAAACTTGCATCAGTGCAGGAGGCTATCTGATTAGAATGCTCTCTTTCAGCAATTACAAGAAATACACAGGGACATAATTTAAACCAAAAAGAAGAGCAATCATGTTTTCTTTAAGGTCAATGCTAATCACAGCCGCATACACAATAGCCCCTGGGACCTGAGCAAGCAAGAGAAACGGGCCAATTACGGAAAGCTTCCTTCCAAAGTGAGGACACCGCCATTAACAAGCCAATCTTACTGTCGTGTGTCTCATCTCGCTCAACTCTACTTTGTAGTGGGTTTGCCTCAAAATGCAGCACGAAGGATGACTTCAAAATCACTCCTGTAATCCAGGAGGCTATCAATCACACGAGGAGAGCAACTGTCAACAGTTTGTCCTGGATACTGGCAGATCAGAAAACTGAAAGCTATTGTGGATTCGGGGTTCGAATACACACTTCAGCACGTGCCATACACTTGACTTTTAACTTTTTCCTAAGTTACCACAGAAACTAAGAGTCCGTGAAATTGACAGATCCTTTAGTAAAGTGAAATTGCTGTTATGGGAATGGGTGGAGAAAATATGTCAAAGCTGCATAAGTCATACCCCATAACAACTCCACACCTGCATTCAATTAAAAATCCTAAACCTTGAGCTATCATTAGATCATAATGACTTCAACTGCACTGTGGAACTTAACTAGGTTACCATGCTCCTTTATCCAATAATACTGTTGACTCTTCATAGTTTAAAAAAAAAAAAAAGTTTGAAAAACTTTCCCGAGAGTTTATAACTGCTTTTATCTAAAATTACTTCTCAGAAATATTCAAATTCAGTCAGCCTAAGGCTCTCTAGAAATTCACTGCAGATAGATACTCTCCAGGGTAAGAATTAACTGAATGTCTGGAAAGGAATAAAAAAATGATGCTCTGTTTTTTTCTTACCTCCACGGTTTGATCAAATATGTACCTGCTCTATAAACAAGTATCCAAAACTCAAATAACAACATTAAAGACTCTAGTGGGTTTTAATATAATAAATTAGGGTGAAAACTATAAAGACTGGGACCACAGAATACAAGCCCATATCTCATTAACAGACTTTGAGAACAAAGCAAACAGGCCAGTACCACTTATTTCCAAAAAGTGAAATGCTACCAAGGGTTTCCCATCAACAGAATCACATACACTGAAAGTTGTGAACATAACAGTCTACTTCAGTTCCAAGGAAATTCACCCCACCGCCCTCATTTCAACATCTCATAGGAAAACACACTTTCATATGCCTAAATTAATTATATCATGTTAAGAGTAGGAAGAAAAAATGGAGTTGAAGGAAAAAGTAATGGTCTGAAAAGAGAAAATAATCAGGGAATCACTACATAGACACATTTATTCACCAGCTATAATTCATGTAGCTAAAACAAGAAGTATGCTCTACAATGAAAATGACTTCATTCCCAAACTCACACATTAAAGCTTAAAAGCAATGAATCCCTTCCCCCTTTCTCCTCATTCTAACTTTGTACACCAGCAACTCATTACATGCAAACTCCTCTCACAGGACACACAGTGCAACTGTAAACTATCCCTATAAGTGCTGAGCTAATTTTAAAACTCTAAAACTTTTCCCCATTTTTGTCTATGACCCAAACACATACAAAACATATTCAAACAGGAAAATATCCTTTCTGACTTCTAGAGAATTCCATCCCCCCAGCAGGAGGTCTTTCTTCCTGTTTGCAACAACAACAAAAAAAAGAACAATGACTTTTTTACTTTCAGACTTAGAAAACTCCCTCAAACTGATTGCCCTGGAATCTACACCATGACAATTTTCCTTAATGGACCCAAAGCCCCCTCACCTTTCAGGCAGAACATTCTACAGCAGTTCCATGGAGGGGCTGGGGCTCTGTGATCCTATGAAGCCTGCAGTGCTAGGCACAGCTGTCTCCCACCCACCTCCGCAGCAGCCACCGCCAGAGCCAAAGCAGGGCAGTTGGCCAGCCCTGTTACTACAGGAAGCCACTGCCCAATCCCAGCTTTCTGGGCTGGGCTGCTGACACCTCCCTAGCTCTCCTCAGTCATTTCACACCGGCAGCCAGCCCAGGATCCTGATGAAAGGGGAGGGAAGGGGCTTAGCAGCCTGGGTTCATCCTGACCAGTGCAGACCAGCCCAAAAGCAGCCAACCATTTGTTTGTGTGATCTCAGCATTTTCCACTCCAGCAGATGTGACTCTTCACGTGATCGACAAATGGCACAAAAAAATTACTCGATCCAGTTTCACTGTTTTCTATTAATTATGACTTACTGTTCTTTGATGGCCCTGTTGCTTCTCTGTCACATGCTCTCCTTTTTTCTCTGACATGGATCAACCCACATTCTGTACATAACTTACACTATATGAAAGGTTGCACACAGCTGTCCGAGCCTACAGAAGTGAGTGAATGTAGGTGAGATGTCCGTTCAGCGCGATACGTAATGGTAAACCATTGTTACTATCACTACTACAGTTGCCAAGAAAGTGTTCGGATAAAAACGTGACATGTGCTACTGTGACACTTCTGTGGCACCAAAGTCAATGAGAGCCTAGAATGTCTAACTATGGTAACCATCATTCAGCTTCTTCCCTTCCACCAGACAGCTAATCTCACTCTAGCAAGTTCAGGGCTTCTTGACAGTAAACTCATTAACATGGGTTAAGAGTAAAAGAAGAGAAACAGTCTAGAGACATTGCCTCAGGGGCACCCTATTTAAAAGTGTCTTTGAACCCTGCGTGGCCCTATGGGCCTTCCCCAAAGTAGATTCTGGAGTCTTCTTGCTGCAGGAAGTGGCCATTGTTCACTGGCCACTGTTGCTGGCTGGTCTTCCTTTGGACTCCACAGGATACAGGAAACTGACTCATACAACTAATCCATCTATCTGTGTGCTGGAGCACTGGCTGTAACCTTGCCATGCAATATACATGCTCTGTACTCTTTTGGCTTCCACTATCTAGTTCAACAGATCCTGATAGAGTTTCTTCTCTTCACCATCCTGTATCACCTACCCTGAGGAAGTCATCACACTGTGATCGGAAGGAAATACAAGATGAAGTCCCTCATCAGAAGCAAGTTAGGATGTAAAGAAAAAAACTGAATGTGGAATGATAACCTGTGATCTTAACGCTTACAACAGAACTTTTCATCTCATTTAGCAAGCCATGAAGTGATTTGCCCATCTAACTACCCATGACAAACCCAGACCTCCTGACTAGGCTTCTTCCATCTCAGCAAGTGACCCTCTCCATGGTGGACTGGAGGCATCCTCTGCCCGCTCCTGTCTTGGGCAGCCTTGCATGTAATGTACAAATTGCAAAGATATTCCTGGAGTTATTTGAGTTCGATTCAACTTTTTAAATTGCACACAGAGAAATTCCTACTTGGAGGAGGGAAGCCCTTTGAATACGGCCTCATACATAGAGCCTGGAGTGGTGGTGGGTATTTAACAGCACTCTAAGATTACTCATCAACTATTTTAGTAGTGGTGAGTTGGTGAGTTTACATGCGGGAAGAACACTAAGAGAACCTGATTCCAGTCGCATCCATATCACTATCTATCTGGTCTCTGTAGCAAATCATTCTCTGTCAACGTGAAGATTATAAGGTTGGGTCCAAACTCTAAGATTCCATCCTGCTGTTAATTTTTTTGGTATGAAAACACACACACACACACACACACACTGTTAGGTGCATTGTGCCAGGTCACAAGAAAAAAGTGAGTCTGCCACTTCGCAGTTTAGTACAACAGATGAGTAGAGTGGTGTAGCTCAATGGTAGAGCACTTCCCTAGCATGTGTGAGGCCCTGGGCTCCATACTCAGCAGAGAGAGGTAATAAGCTATACAACGGAAGAAAGCACAAAACTAATAATGACCAGTGACAGTTTCTCTCCCACTGTCATCTAATTAGGCTACTCTTGTTAACTAGGTTAAAACAGCTGTAATTTAATGTAGTGAGCTGAACAGTGTCTACCCAAAATTCATGTCTACCCTCAGAATGCAACCTTATTTGGAAATAGGGTCTTTGCAGGTATAATTAAGGAAAAGGTGAAGGTGAAGTGATACTATTGGGTTAGGATGGGCCACTAAGAGTGTCCTAAAATAAGAGAGGAAAGAACACACAAAACACCAAGAAGATCAGGTGAAGATGGGCCTGCTGCATGCAAGCGAGGATTCCCACCCACCCTCAGAGAGAGAAAGCATAACCACTCGGCACCTTGCTTCAGACTCCATCCTCCTGAAGTGTGAAAGAAAAAACCTTTTTTGTCTCAAGCCACCACATTTGAGGTGACCTAGAAAAGCAACCCCAGCAAACCAACCCATTTAACAAGGCAATAATTATTATGGGAAAAGAGGCATAACTTGTTTTTCTTTTTAAATTGACTTCAATGTGAGCTTACATGCACTTATAATCTATTTTTTCCACACCCTTGTACTGAGGTAAATTTTTGCTTGAAACAAAGTATTACTCTAATAACACTCCCTAACAACACAAATATCATCATATTAAATTAGCAAAACTGCAGGTGTTACCAACTGTAAAGTTCATAGCATTCCACCCAAGCAGTAGAAATGGAATAGACTCTGATGAATATATAGTAAAAGATTAGCATGCTTTAATAATCCCTTGATTGTGACCAGCGGACAACTGTATACATCTGAGACATCAACCATGAAAATTACACTGCCCAAACTCTGGGAAAAAATAAGAAGTATCTATTGAGATGATATCATCTACCACTAGTGATCATTGCTACTGAGACTGAAAAACATACTGAGGATGCTGCCTGGAGGAAGTCCCAGGGCAGGGTGATGCACAGGCTGAGTTTACGGCCCTTCGGACAGGACAAAGGTCTTGCCTTTGTCAACCCTGACACTAGGGCAGCAACCACTTTTCTGCCCTGTAGGATTACAACATCCAACATCATGCTAAAGTTTAACATTACCATCTCTGTAACAGGGAGCGGTAACCCACATACACAGCCAAAATTTTTCAGAATAATATCTTCCAAAGCCCTACAGTGCTAGTTTACTTATGTGCGAGAATTTTTTTCTTTTAATAAAATAGTAAAGAGGAGGATAAGTTAAGAATTACTTTGCATAACACATAGAATCCTAAGTCTAGATTGGTTCAAAATTATGGTTCATGCCTGGCAAAACACAAAACAAAATTAGAAGAAAAACAGCATATCTTCTCCTAAATATCCTGAGTCTTCCTCCTACCAGAAATGCAGTGAAAGATGGAAAAGCCCTTCTCCACACCCTTCAAGGGTTTGTTTCTCATCAGCGAGAAAGTATCCCTTTCTACCTTTGTCATACCTGTATGGCAGCCTAGACAGGCTGTTGAAGCACAGAGAGCTTTTCAAGTCAGAGGAGCCCAAAGACATAGGAGCAACCACTGGTGCTTTCTCTTTCCCTATATTGATGAGTGATGGTACTAGGGTTTGAACTCAGGATTCTGCACTTGTGAGGCAGAGGCTTTACTGCTTCAGCCACACTTCCAGCCCTCTCTTTCCCTGTATTGAAGAGAATGAAGATGCTAAAACCCTCTGACATCCTTAAGAAAATGACCAGGTTAATCCAGTTTGCTGGATGATACCTGTGACCTTCAGAATGGAAGTTTAATTACCCAACTAAATTTCCCCAAGTTTTAAGGACTCAATCTGGGGTGTTTATACATTTTTGACAATGCCACAGGCACAAGAGAAAAAGACAAGAATTAAAAAAAAAAAAGCATTTTAACATTAAATTGTCCATTTCCTTTTTTGTTTAGCTAGTTGTTTATTTGCTTATTGGTGCTAGGGATTGAACTAGGTCCTCATGCATACTAAACATTCTTTCTACTAGTGAGCTTCACCACCAGCCCCTCCCTGATTAGTTAAAAACTAGTTCACTGTTCTGGGGCCCCCAGTTTGGCCACCTTGTAGACAAGGAAATCGGGAGCACAGTTCTTTGTTTTGGATGCTTTTTCCTCTTCACAGGATCTGAACCTGTATCCTATTTCATTTTTCTGCACTCTGGAGCCAGACCTGGCCTACTTGGATCCAAGAGCATCCTCTCATCCTCTTTGCTGTCATGTGTCTCTTTGGAAATACCTGTGTCTTGGGTCACCATTCAGAACACAAACTAACAACAGTGTTCCAAGGCAAGTGGGCAAGTAAGTGCCTCGCTGAGATTCTCTGATGGAGTCTGGCCTCAGGTAGACACATTCACTCTATTTCCTGCCTGAATGAAGTGTTGCCCTAATTCGCCATTTTAAGATATGCTCTCCTGAATGGGTTCTTACAATTACATTCACTTTTTTTTTTTCTTTGCAGCCATGTCTAGATTCCTTAACATGGCTACTAAGAAAGTAACCCTCATTTGGCTCCTTTCCATGAAATTTGTGTGTGGTCTTATTCATAGCATCCTAGCTCTCCTAATAACCAAAACGTAGAAGAGAACCTTTGGGGTTCCATTTTCCCACAGAACATAACAATCTCTCCAAGTTGACCTGGGCTCTTAGTTTAGGTCATTTCCAGTCTCTCCTGACAGCTCACTGCTGCCTGCTGGGTTCCAGTCTGTAAACCACCCCCCACCCACTTCTTTGGGAGCACAGTGATATGCTTTAGACCCATCCCTCCTTCCTATGCACCCATTCCTCCCTTTGAGAATGGAAATGCTTATTCTGTGCTACTGTATGTTAGAAATTTGTAACTAGGTTTTATATTTTTACAGGAGCTCACAATAGAGTTGCCTTGAATCTCAAAGGAGATTTTGGACTTGAACTTTTGAACAATGTTGAACTTTTGGGACTCTTGAAGATGAACTAAATGCATTTTCTCATTATGAGATGAACATGAGCCTTTGGGGGGGTCACAGGCTGAATGGCTGAATATTATGGTCTAGGTATAAAGTGTCCTGATAAAGGCTCATGTATTGAAGGCTCGGT